CTCTCTCGCAATTGCACCAGTGCAACGTCACACAAAAGTTATTCTCAAAAATCCTCTCTGATCGGCGCAATCTTGTATTCTATCATTCTTGGTGCAGACGATAAAATTATCCATCACTCAAAAACTGAGAGCGCAAAGTGACAGTTCTCCTGAGATAAGTTGCAAATTCTTGCTAAAAAAATTTCAACCAGCAAGAATTTGCAATCACGAAAAACATATGATTGTGGCACATGGTTGCATTTTTGTCTACGATAATTGAATAAATAAGTTCGTTAAATTTGAAAATTTATAAACACGGGCCATTCGTTTATGAAAAAAGGAAGTAAATACTTGTTGATATAATTAATTTAGTTAATTTCTATGATTTGAACTTCAATCGGCTGGAAAAATTGTGTTCGCAACTGGAATCAGTGATCAGCAAAGAGTGCCTATTTTGAGGTTCCCCGCCACTCAGCATTTTTTTAATATAAGTACGTCTAAAGCAGCGAAACGCCACCACTCTGATGTACGCATATGCACAACGACATTGATTTATGTGCACAAGTTGCCCTCCATATGAATACGATGCCCTCATCATACTCATACCATCCCCAACAAATTTGATCCTCAGCTCAACGGAGTTTGATCCGCAATATTCATTGCTTGAGTGGAATCATGTGAATTGTATGTATGTATTTTGCTGATCTATTATTCATATGTACATATGTACATATATATGCACTTATACAATATTTATATATGTATTTATAAAGAAAGGATTTTTAGAGCACTTTCTTTATTTAAGCGCATAACCAGAGGCTGAAGGATAACTTCTAAATACTATTATAAATATGTATGTAAACATAAAATATTTACTGATTGCTCGGGGGATTCGCACAAACGGTAACAATGAAACAATAATATTAAGAGATCCACAAAATTAGTATGCATGGTCATAAACCCAGTAACGTACATACTAGAGTCCAGCGCAAGTGTATTTGGCGCATTTCGTTCAATAAGTACTCCTTGCCTTGTACTCTACTCCCAACACATTGTTACTCTTTTTCCGCATACATACCCTACTTGGCGTTGAGAGAGTAAATACTTGACGTACTTGCTATTACTCCACCAAACTAGGTACTCTACTTTCTCTCATCGCGTACGAGAGATATTTGCTGCTGCCAAAAGGGAGTAGCAAATCTACTCTCTGTATACTTGTAGTACGGTAAGTACTTGCGTATTAAATTTCAATTCTGGTTGTTAGCCTACTAGTTGATATCGTTTGCGGCGCTGGTCAGTGAAATTAAAAGAGTAAAAATAGAATATGGAAATTGACGATGTAAGGAAATGTTTACGGCCTTATTTATAAAAAAATAACGTAGATTTAGACATATGTTTAATGTGGCATTTTCAGAAAACCTTTGTATTCAAGCAGCTTTTTAAATCTATGTATGTACTTAAATTTTTATGAAAGTATTATTTCTCGCTTCTAATTTTCTATAAAACTATTTGCAGTCATTATCCAACAAATAAGTTGTCAAAAACAATAACTTAAGCAATGCTGCTATACGAAATAAAATTATTAGTGGCAAATCAAAATTTTGAAAAGAGCCGATTTTCACATTCGATAGTTGGACATGGTAGCGACGAGATGTACAAGCATTTTTTTTCTTAAGAGCTGCATACTGATTTAAGAAATTTTTTATAGAAGCAAATTTATTTTCCATTTATTGTGCGTAATTTTATATGAATTTCTTGTTTTTCTTGAGAGCCTTTACAAATAAAAAAAACTGGAGTAACTGGTGCGATTGCACCTTCTGAACGCGTTGTTGCGTACTTCTGATCAACTGAATAGTTGCGTTTTAGATGATCCTAATATTTTTCTGATCATTTGACACAACATGTTGGTGTGTACCTTTGAGAGTTGAATTTGACAGCTAACGTATAAAGTGGTTCAGAAGACGCATAACGATCACTGATTTTTTTCTGAATATACCCATTGACAGCTCAAATTGGTATTGAGTAAAACCAAATGCAAGATAGAGTTTTTGAGTTTCATTGAGTTTTTTTTTTTATAAATACTAAAATGAGAGGTGTATGAATGGCGAAAGAAAAACTATCCGATTTTTTTAAATCGAAACTACATTTTTACATATGTATGTACATGCATACATAAATATATTTAATATGAAATTGAAATTTTCACATCAATTTGCGCTATCTTCAAACCCATGGTTTCAATTGTACGCATATCGTCAGGGGTTTCCCCACAACTTGGTTTTGCTGCAGTGAAGCGACAGAACAAGTGACGAGAAAATTTATATGTGGACACTTACATATATATGTATCTATGCACATACGTATCTATGCACATATGTATCTATGCACATACGTATCTATGCACATACATACATATGTACTTAGGTATGTATATCAGCATTTTAGTTGAAAGTACGTTTTGCTCGTCGCTCTCTTCATCGCTCCACTACAATCCTGTCCTTAGTTTTATTCAGATACCACAAATGCACGATCCAGAAAATTCTTCTATCATTCTTGCCACAAATGTATGTTTTCTTCGAAAATACTCAAGTACTACCAGTAGAGTACTCTACTGTCAAATACCTTTTACTCGCAGTAGTTGCGGAAGGCAAAGTAAATACTCTACGCGTCTTGCTATTGATCGGTAGTTTACGTACGCTTGCAGAAACTGGTTTATGCTTACTCACACTTGACCCGAACGATGAGAGTAAAGGAGGGAAAGTATTTGCGCGGCGATCGGATGTCTTGTTAGGCCCTTTAAATGGAATTGCGCATCAGTTTAGTATGTACATAGATACATATGTGCATAGATACATATATAACCCTGCAAAAATGGCGACTACTCCATGCATGCATGTAAGGAGTACTCCCGAAGGACCAAGGAGTACTCCAAAATTAACCACAATTCATATAAAAAATATGGTCCAATTAACATTGCGATGTCCTAGGGCAGGACCATATACTCCATCTCTGCATTACATCAGAGTAGCACAAAACTACTCCCAACATACTCCAATGACATTGTCGTTATATTTTTTCGTTTGTACACGCTTTTGTTCTTCACTTCGCAGATGCTTCTCTACACGTTCAGCTACAGCCAGCCATGCAAATGTACTTTCAAATGCTTAACTTCAATCACATTTCGTTAAAACACGAGCAGTGATCGGGTAACAATAAGCTGGTGCAGAGACACGAGTTGGTCCGCTACAGCATGACAGAGGAGCACTTTTGTAAGTACTCCAATATACCACAAATAGACTACATGGTCCAACGATTTTTGCAGGGAAGTGTCCGCATATATTTTTTCTCGTCACTTGCTCTGTCGCTTCACTGCAGCAAAACCAATGACGATATGCGTACAATTGAAACCATGGGTTTGAAGATAGCGCAATTTGATGCGAAAATTTTAATTTCATATTAAGTACATTTATTTATGTATGCATGTACAAATGTACATACATATGTAAAAATGTAGTTTCGATTTAAAAAAATCGGATAAAGTTTTTCTTTCGCCATTCATACACCTCTAATCTTAGTATTTACCACCTATCAACTAGTAGGCTAACAACCAGAATTGAAATTTAATACGCAAGTACTTACAGTACTACAAGTATACAGAGAGTAGATTTGCTACTCCCTTTTGGCAGCAGCAAATAAATATCTCTCGTACGCGATGAGAGAAAGTAGAGTACCTACTTTGGTGGAGTAATAGCAAGTACGTCAAGTATTTACTCTCTCAACGCCAAGTTTTGGAAATCACCACATTTCCTCATCAGACTTCTTTCAGTAGGATTCGAACCGACGATCACCACTGACTCAGCCAGTTGCCTACGCACTGTGCTAAGTTTGTCTTGTTAATTCTTGTTGCTTATTTTCCACTATTTCACTTTGCTAAGCCAACTACAATCAAGCGCAGCTATTCCGCTGCAATTCACTTGATCATGTGGTTGTTGGTTTTGTTGGTTTTTGTTAATATTTCTATTATTAGAATGTTTAACTTTTTAGTTGTGCTCGTCCTTAAGTTATTTGTTTTTTTTTTTGTTATTTTTATGGCCTTATAACAATTATATTCAACAATTTTTATGAGCTTGAGGCCGTTTTTAGTGAAAACTTATTGTGGAAAAGCAACAATAATTTGAAAAAATGGTAGAAGTGATAGCTATTTCGGAAATCACCACATTTCCTCATCAGACTTCTTTCAGTAGGATTCGAACCGACGATCACCACTGACTCAGCCAGTTGCCTACGCACTGTGCTAAGTTTGTCTTGTTAATTCTTGTTGGTTATTTTCCACTATTTCACTTTG